TGTGTCCCTTTCATGTCGATGTTTCTCTCTCTTCCTCTCTCTCCCTCCCTCCCACTCTATCTGAACAAAAAATGGAAAAATATCCTCGGTGAGGATAAAAAAAAAAAATTAACTATTCAGAAATAACAGTTTATTAAGGCTTTGTTTCGCCTCCCCTCCTCCCCCCATTTATTGTAATCATGTTGGAGAATAGTGTAATGTTTTGATTTTTCAGCAGCTATTTTTAATGGACAAATTACTTTTGTATTTGGTCTCTATTCCCTTTTCGTGTGGCAGGGAACAACCCTTCTGTCAGCAATTGGGATTCTGCTGGGATTTTAATTGTTTGGTTTTGCCTTTACTTCTCAAAGAAAGACATGAGCTTCAGGTCAGCCAATCAGAGGACTCTACATGCCTAGATTAATTCATGTGATAAAAACAAGGCCAATCAGAAAAGTTATTTTCCTTGGGAGAAAGTGGAAGAGGATGGCACTTCCTACTGTGACCCTAAATATAAGTTATAAAGGTGACAGTGATTTTCTCTGTCATTGCAGAGAACCTCTTCATGAGAATGAGTTAGTACAGAAAGCAGAGTAGAATAAGAGAAAAAGAAAACAAGAGTCTAGCAAAGAATTTAATTTCTTCATCCTGCTGTGCCTCTTGGACTTCTGTCTTCTGTGAGTCAAATAGTTCCTCCTGTGTTTAATTAAAATTGTTTTTATTGTTGAAAGTATTACAGATGTCCCCGTTTTTTCCCTATTGACCCCCTCCTTCCTGCTCCCATCTTCCTCCTGCTTTCCCCAACTTAATGTCTGTGTCCATTAGTTGTGCATATAAGTTCTTTGGTTTATCTCTTCCTACCCCTCCCACCCCCAATCCCTCTTCCATGACTCTGGATCTTTTTTGATCAACAGTGTTTAAGTAAACTTGATTGGTACTTCTGTTCCTTGTAACCAGACAGTCCTACTACTATAATAATAAAAGTATTTTATATCTCTAAAACTTAATTCATTAATATATTGGTAAATTCTAGAGAATAATGTATTTTAAGAATATATAATTCTATGACTATAGAATGCTATCTTAAATATTAGTTCTTGTTGCAATGGTTGTTATTGTTGTAATGTTTCTGTCATTTCTATAAACATATCAGATTCCATTTAAACGTTTCCATAATTTTCAGACATTTATATTTTCAAATTTCAAAAATTTTTGTCTCTATTAAGTAAAATTTGCTATCCATATTTGCATGCTTAGAATTCTGGTAATTAAAACGGGATAAAATTTTCAGTTTTTTTTAAAGTTTTTATTATTTTTGTCAAATTTTTTATTTTAATAAAAAATACATGATTGCTACCCTGGCCAGTTTGGCTCAGCGGTTAGAGCGTCGGCCTGCGGTCCAGAGAGACCCGGGTTCGGTTCCCTATAAGGGCACGTGCTTCGGTTGCAGTTTGTCCCCGGCCCTGGTTGGTTGTGTGGGTGGCAGCCACTCCATGTGTTCCTTCACGTCGATGTTTCTCTCTCTCTCCCTTCCTCTCTCTCCCTCCCACTCTATCTGTACAAAAAATGGAAAAATATCCTCGGGTGAGGATAAAAAAAAAAAAAAAAAAAAAAAGCAGCAGCCCTGGCCAGTTTGGCTCAGCGGTTAGAGCGTTGGCCTGCGGTCCGGAGAGACCTGGGTTCGGTTCCCGCTAGGCCATGTACCTCGGTTGCAGTTTGTCCCTGGCCCTGGTTGGTCGTGCGCCTGGTTGGTCGTGCGGGTGGCAGCCACTCGATGTGTCCCTTTCACATCGATGTTTCTCTCTCTCTCTCTCTTCCTCTCTCTCCCTCCCACTCTATCTGTACAAAAAATGGAAAAATGTCCTCAGGTGAGGATAAAAAAAAAAAAAAATAAATACATGATTGCTCACATTATTCATTTTTGCCAGCACTGACTTTGTAAGGTATTATAATTATTGTCAGTTTGAAGGACACAATTTTAGTTTTTTTCCTTTTGTAATTGAGGCTATATAATTATTATATATAATCATTGTCCATTGATGCCTCATTTTAAGATCTGTTAAAAATCTGTCCTGGCCAGTTTTGCTCAATGGTTAGAGCATCAGCCTGTGGACCAGAGAGTCCCAGGTTCGGTTCCTGCCAAGGGCATGTAGCTCGGTTGCAGTTTATCCCCGGCCCTGGACATCCATATTTCTCTCTCTCTCTTCCTTTCACTCTATCTGAACATAAATGCGAAAATGTCCTCTGGTGAAGATTAAAAAAAAATTTTTTTTAATCTATTAAAAATTCTACTTTTTCTTTTATAAAAGTGATTTGCTTTTAAAATACCACTTAATGATTCCTCAGAAATATGTATATATTCATCTACCTAAGGGGCCTATGACTCATCTCAATCTTTTAAAAATTGTGGTTACAGCCCAGCCGGTGTGCTCAGTGGACTGAGTGACGTCCCGTGGACTAAGAGGTCCCAGTTCAGTTCAAGTCACATGCCCAATTTGCAGGCTCAGTCCCCAGTAGGTGGTGTGCAGCAGGCAACTGATCAATGTTTCTCTCTCACATTGAGGTTTCTATCTCTCTCGCGCGCTTCCTCTCTCTCTAAAAAAATCAATAAAAAACTTATTTTAAAAAATAAAGCAAAAATAAACTAAGCTTAAAAAATATTGTGGTTAAATACAGAGTACTGACCGGGAACTCGGGACCTGCATCCTAGGAGGAAAGGCCCTGGACAGACAACCTCCCTCACCCCGTCCCAGCCTATAAAATCCAAGCTACTCTAACCCTCCCAATCAAGTTTACAAGCAGAGAGAAAAAGTAGAACTTGAACAGATATTTGTACACTCATATTCAAAACAGCATAATTCACAAAAGCCAAAAAGTGAAAACAATTCACCTTTATTTTTTTCCAAAATCATTTACTGAAAAGCCTTCTCTCCCCCGCTGCTTTGAGATGTTTTCTTTATCCTAAAGCACCTTTTTATGTACAGGGTGGAACAAAAGTAGGTCTGTTGTTGTGAGGTACATAAAACACAGAGTTTATTCTTGTATTATTATTTACTAATTATTGTATTGTTTTCCATAAGAACAACTATAAATGTATTTTTGCCCCACACTGGTATACTGAGAAAGTGCTTCTCAAACTTTGGTGGGTTAAGAATCATCTGTGAATTTGTTTCAAGTGCAAATTTCTGGACCCATTCACAGAGACTTTGATTAATGAGGGCTGAGGAAAAACCAAGGAGGTCAGGTAGGTCAGATGATTCTACTGTGTGAGAATACCAAGCAAAAACTTCAGAAACTTGGCAGGAGCATGTTTCACACTATCTGTGTTCTCTTTCTCTCTCCCTATTTCTCTCTTTCTCTCCCCTCCCTCCCACCCCTCCCCTCCTCTCTCTCCCCCCTACTTAATTAATCCCGATTCCTAACACTCTGCCTCTGTTTTGTCTCAGTACTAAACTTTTGAATAAGACAAATGAATGTAATTTTTTCACTAGCTATCACAATGTTTTATAAAATGATCATAAGTAAAAGCATATTATCAGCACTTGAGTAGATAATCTATGCTCAAAACACAATAGATCATTCAGAAACAGAATAATTTAATATGTAAGGTAACTTTTAAATTAAGGGTGAGAGATGAATTTTATTCCCCCAAATAATTGGTACTGGAATTACATATAAACCATATGGAAAGAAACAGCACCTCTCACTATACTTCAAAATAAATTTGAGGTGAATGAAAGGACTAAATTTAAAAATCCATTAAAGTAATAAAATTAAGTCTGAGTAAAAATGCTATACTTTGGGGGTGAAAATGGACTTTGAGAACCATAAAACCACAAGTTGTATTCATAAAGGATGAAGAATTTGAGGGTATACACAAAATGAAGAGGTGACCTAGCAGGCCATGGTATATGTCCTCAGTAGGTTGTAAGGGCCACAAGGTCCTGAACTCCGCTGTCCTGTTCTCTCCAACCCAAGATGTCACAGAGGCTCCAGGTTCTTCTTACTGGAGATATGTACTGAGCTCCCTGGACTGTCATAATGGGATCACCCTTTTGAAGAGATTCCCTGGAAGAGACTAACAAGAGTGTGAGGTCCGGGATGGGAGGAACATGGTCACACTAAGAGGGCCCGCTCTCCTATCATCATTTTTTAGACTAATGTTTTCTTTCCTGTCCCATCCTCAGATCTCAGGTCTCTTGTCTTCATTTTTTTTATTATTATTATTATTATTTTTTCCACTTTCTGATGTGTGCTCCCAACATCTACCTTTCTTGAACTCTGCCATTCTCTGACCTTTTCTACTCACCTGTGTACAGACTTGGATGTGACCTGGAATCAGAGACCCTCTGTTCCTATCTTCATCTCCATATAGGTCAGGTCTCTGGGTTCTAGTACTGGAGAATTGCTCAGATCGCCTTCAGCGTGGAGTTCCCTTATACCACATGCACAGTGGAATAAGAAAACTCAGGAAACTACTTCTGCGACAGCACAGCTGGGCTCCATGGAATGTGGGCCAGTTTATCACAACACTTTAGTGGCTTAAAGACAGTTCTAGTCCTGGCTGTGTTGGTGGTCTCTCTGCTTGTTAGTCTCTAATCATACAGTTACAAAGACAACCTAGAAAGGGGTGTACAGTCCAGCTCAGGAAGGGAAACTAGATTCCTGGAGAATAGCAGTTAAGAACAGAAATGTGGAAATCAGTCACAGTTGTGACCTGGATTTGAACCAGGATTCTGGCAGACCTAACGTAAGATTTTTAAGCAACCTCTCTTCACAAAGAGATGCTAATTATAATAAAAACAAAAACAATACTAAAAGTAATACCTCTACCATGAGATTGTTTGGATGATAATGATAATGTTTGTCTAGTTCTTAGCATAGTGCTTGGCACATAATCATTATGCTCATCATTGTTTATTATTTTGATTTGGAGTGACCCTGAGCATGTATTTATCTTACCTGCTCACACTTGTTCTTCTCTCTTCCTACTTTAAGCTCCTGTACTTGTGGGAAAGGTAGATGTCCCTAGTGTCAGGCTCTCTTCAGCCCAGCCCTTGAAACATCCATTCTCTGAAGCATAGACAACACAAGAACTGAAAGAGGTAAGGAGGCTATGGGCACAGGTAGACCTAGAAGCCTCTTCTTCATATCTGAAGTACTTGCCTTTCTCTGGGAAGAAAGCCTCCTTGGAGAACTAATGATTAACGGTCAAGTTTGGAATAGGATTGAAAGACGATTACTAGGCCCAAGAGTCCTCTAAAAAGCAGACTGTGCTCTGATATCTAGCAATCAGGCGCGATTCCTGGGACAACTGTTACTTCTGCTCAGGCTTTTTTAAGGAAAGTTTTTTTTTAAATGTTAACATTGCCCTGGCCTGTTTTGCTCAGTGGTTAGAGCGTCGGCCTGCGGTCCAGAGGGACCCGGGTTTGGTTCCTGCTAAGGGCATGTACCTCGGTTGCAGTTTGTCCCCTGCCCTGGTTGGGTTGTGTGGGTGGCAGCAACTCAATGTATCCCTTTCACGTCGATGTTTCTCTCTCTGTCTCTCTTTCGCGCGCTCTCTCTCTCTCTCTCTCTCTCTTTCCCTCCCACTCTATCTAAACAAAAAATGGAAAAATGTCCTCGGGTGAGGATAAAAAAAAAATGTTAACATTTAACATAATTACCAGGAAGAAGAATAATAATGTGCTTCTCTCTCTCTCTCTCTCTCTCTATATATATATATTTTTAATATTTTTATTTTTTTAAAGTAATACAATTGTTTTAGAAAATATAAGTTGTCTACCCAGTTTTGCACATTTCTGTAGCAAAGACACTTGCTCATACATATTAAAGTATTGAGAAAATATTAGTGCAGCCTACTGTGGGGTGAATAGACATGGAAACACACTGAGAGGGAAGAAATGTAATGGTTGAAATCTCTGATGATGAGGTCATCGTCATTGCAAATAGGCACATAAGAATGGAGAGAGTTTAGGGATGCAAAAACCAGATCAAAGCAAAAAGCATGAAGTCTACCTAGGAGGAAAAAAATAAAATAAAGAAAGAAACACAAGGGAAGTAATGCACCTTAGTGAGAAAGTTATTCTGAGTGGCAAAAGGAGGCAGGGGAGGCTGCAAAATGGACTGAGCCATTCCAGGCAATGAGGTGGTGGTAAAAACAGACACAAGAAGTAGCTCAGCGTATGTGGTGTTCATTTGACCCTATGGACCCTGCTTGATTCCTTCTCCAAGGGCATCTATGGTCAGAGATGAGCAAGAGAAGAAAGACACAAGATGAAGAATTTATCTCCTAAGAGCAGGATGTTAATAAGGGAAGGGTGGATCATTTATGGCTCTTTCAGCGCAAGTTTGTAACTCCTAAAAAGGGAACCGATGCATTTGTTCCAGCTTGAGGGAGCACGTGAGCCTCCTTTGGGCTTCTCTCCCTCTCTCCCCACTGTTGTCCTCTTCTCCTTTCTCCTTCTTCCTGCCCTTTGTCTCTCCCTTGCTCTCTCCCTCATTCCTTTCTTGTGTCCTTCTCTCCCTCCTGACTTTTATCTCCTCCCCTTTCTCTCTCTCCTTCCTTCACCTTTCCTTTTCTTATCCGGTCTTCTAGACTGAACACAGGTCTAGTAAGGTTGGTTTTACTCAGCATTTCAGAGGTACTTAGATTGTGAGTTGTCAGTTTTGAAATCATTCAAAGTCTTAGAGCTCACAAAAGCAATAGGTGGATGGAGCCTGGGCAGGAATAGAAGGGGCACAGCATCGCAGCAGAACGTATCTCCATATCTCTTGTATTCCCAACAGGAAGATATGCGGTCTCTGCTCACCACGCAGAACCTGCCTCTGCTCCTGCTGCTGCTGCAGCCACGCCCACCGCCGGTTCTGATGCAATATGAAGATACGGCAGAGGAGAGGCAAGAAGAATTTGAAGATCTCCGGAGTGAACTGTACAGTACAGGGCCTACCAAACCACCTACCAGAAAGAGTTTCGAAAGCGAGGTCATAGTTGATAACTACGAGCCATTAGAAGATCTAAACTACTGTGATTTTGGAATAATGATGAAAAATGTTCACACCAGGTTGAAGTGTCGGAAAGAACATTTCTTCGTCCAGACAAAATATGAGGATTTGCAAAAGGCCTGTAGCACCAGGTTTGTAGCCTGTAAGAATGGAGTTAAGAGATGTCACAAGAGCAAGACAATAACAAAAGCAGTGTACTGTAACTACACACAGGGAACTAGGATGCCAGACTGTCGATATACATCTTTTTACATGAGGGGATATCCCATTATTACTTGTCAATGGCAAGATGATATCGAAAGCCTTGTTCCTGAGTATATTAATAATATTTTGGAAGTACCTGACAAGTAGAAAATTGCCAGCCACTAGAAAGATACATTCCTCCCACCATTCTAGAAGAGTATTATCTAAGAGGTTAAAGCGGGAGGATATACCCCTCTCCATACTGATTCTTATAGGTCAAAATGAAGAATGGTAATTTTTATTCATTCATTTTAATCATCCACCTCCCTCTCTTGTCCTAACACCATGTGCAGGCAACGTGGGCTAAGTTCAAAGACTGTGCTCTGAGATGGTTTCAAACAGGTTAGATAACTGAGCACATTTTGAATGTTACGGGGATGAATGCCTATAGTGAGTGAAAGGATGATCACTGCCAAGAAGAACAAAAAGTGGTTGCCTGCACTGTGCTCCAAAGTTATATTCATGTGCATCTCTAGTTCTGTAGAAATAATAAAGTGCATTGACCTAACAAAGTGTCTCTGGTATGGTTATGTGGGGTGTCTGAGTTTGGAATGACCTTTCTCTGTGACACAATTTGTAACAAAAAGATCTCAAAGCCCCTTGAGAAACTGTGTATTTCATCTTTCTACTGCTATATTAGTAGATATTTTGCTTGTTCTGGTCTTTTCAGACAATATTCATGGGAAAATGAAGGCATAGAATCTAATAGACATCTCAGGATAAATACCTAAATATTCAGGATAGTAAACTCCCCAAAGTACTTTTTAATTATCCAATGCTACTTTTTGGGGATTCCTATACCTTTGATTTAGTTTATTCATCACTGTTCACAAAACTACAAACAATTCATTACTCTCTGACATGTTCACATTTATTTTCATTCCCTTCCTCACTTTCTGTAGATGTGGTTTTATCTAAGAATATTCCACTTCCAAAAAAGGCTGGAAAATCAGTATGATAAAAGAAATCTACTTGTCCAATTTAGGTAATAATTTCTCTCCTTTTATCTGTGAAACATCTTACTATCTTTTTATAATTATTCTCTACAACTAACATATGAGAAATGGGATAAGGAGTAGTGATGGGGGATGGTAAGGAGAGTATCTGTTTATCTTGCATATTTCTCTGGAACCCAATCTGCTCATCTTTTTACCACTCCCTATTCTTATCTTCAGACTACTCAGAGGTAATATCCTAATTCATCAATCAACTGATGCAACTAGTGGCCTAGGACTCATTCATTTATTCAACAAGTATTTAGTTAATGTCTATACATGTGAGTCACTTTGCCAGCTATCTGGCCCACAAGTAAAATATAAGTATCTGGTTATAGGTTAATAAATTGTTCCTAAAACCAGAATTCAAACCGATTTAGGCATATATGGTTAACTGGTGAGGCCATGTTTGAAAGGATTCTAGTTACATGAGAGTTGCTGACGAGGGAGTATTCTGCACGATAGAAAAGAAAATGAATACGGGGGCAGAGAAGCAAGAATGGTGTTTCACTTCCATCTACCTCCCCATCCCACACTCCACATACATCTGACACACAGCTGGCCTTTTTGACCGGTGTTTGAACACCCTGGAGAGAAAAGCTCTACGTAGAATATGTGAGAGCTATTTTGATGAGAGACCGAGGAACAAACAATACTGTTTTGGTTTTCGAGGGATGAAGAGTAGCACAGAGTGATAAAGGAATAATCTCTCCCTTTCTCACAGTAAAACTACACACTTCTAAATCCTCCAACTACACAGTTTTCATGGTTTTGATGCTGTTGAAAGAAAAGCACATCTTGGTATAGAAGCCAAGTGTCATGGAGGCCCTGGCAGCCATGGCATTGAGTAAGTCTCCACAAGTGTCTTTGAGGGTGAAGGACACCACCAAGAAGGACTGGAGTAGAAGAAAAAAAAAAAAAGACGTTACCTGATACACATGACCTACTAGTCCAGGAGCATCTTGAGACTTCTCCTGGAGAGGCCTAGATATAATAGATATGACATTGGTAAGATTTTCAAGCATCTGGAGGGTTATAGCAGTAGAGACACAACCCATTGCCCCTCAGTATAATCCTTTCTTTATCTGGGGGTTGTAATAGAAACGTGAAATTTTACCTGAGCACATAGTCACCCAAAATAAAAGATAATTCCCAGGGTTTTTTTTTTAATTAAAATTGACCATGTCACTCATTTCTGGACAGTGGGATGTGTATGGAAAATAAGTGAAATGAATAAAACTTCTGGGACATATCCTTGAAGAAAAGAGGAATCCCTTGTTTTACCTTCTCTCTTCTGAATGACTGGCATATGGACATGATGGTTGAAGCTGGAGCAGCTATCCTGGGTCCTGACACAGAAGCCATGTGCTAAGTATGGCAGAACAACAAAATGGAAAGAGCCTGGATATCTAACCCTGTGGAGCACCATACCAGACCTGAACTTACTAACCCTGGACTTTGGAAAAAGAAATGAGAGAGAGAAACAAGTGCCTATCTTGTTTTAGCCTCTGTTATTTGAAGTTTCTGTCACTGTCAAACCAATTCTAATTAATATGTACAGGAACTGGAGAGAGGGAGCAAAACCATGTGAGGTGTAGGTTGTTGCTATTAAAATGAGCCCATCAATAACCCCAGACTGATGAGGCCTGTGGAGATTTAGGTTGCCTGAGCATAAGCCTGGTGTAAATTTTAAGAATTACATGTAATGATATAATTATAAAAACAGAAATACAACAGCTGACACTGTTAGACACATGGCTAACCTCTTCTAACTATTGTCCAAGTGCCACTCTTTACCTCATGGGTTCTAGCAAAAGAGAACAACAAAACAAAATTCAAATATCAGGATTAGTAGAAACAACTCTTAGTTGGGAATTATAATTTGGGATGCATCACTGACCCTGACCTATTTATAAGTCTGGAGGACCACAGAAACCCTTTGTACTTCATTAGCCTCAGATGATGATTCTTAATCTTGAGATGATTACAGGCAGATGTGAGCCTCTTTGGTCAGTCTTTTGGCACTCTAAGCCCCAAGCCAGGACCCAAACTGCGATTCCCAGGGCTCTGCACCCTCCTACCCACCCATGATTTACTACCACAGGTCACAAGACAGCTTTGTGAGATACCCAAAGTGCATTCAGGTATCGACTGAATTTATGAATTTAATAATAATATTTGCAAGTTATATTTAAAAGCCAAAGGAAGAACTGCAGACTTTATTATTTTTTTTTAATCAATTAATTTCTATTATTAAAACCAAAATAAATGTCTTAATGGATGTTCTGGGAAAACTTGAATCACCTTCGTATCTTCTGCTCCTCAATAGCCGGATGCCGTTGGCATGCCCTTGGTTGCTGTTCAGTGCTTCGTGTACAGAAAAACCTTGGTGGTGGAGGCCTGGAAGCTGCCCTGGGCCTTCTTTTGCTGGCTGAAAGCTAAGACAAGTAAAATGATAACCTTACTCAGAAACCCCCCCAGGGCACAGCTTAGACATGATCAAAAGACAGAATTCACAGGTTAAAAAAAGCAATGTAGTCATAAGGAACATTCTGATATGAGTAGTATGTGTACACACTGACCTCATTATTCAGGATATATCAGAGGTCAACTGTGCTCCCTAAGCGGGAACAGGTACTGATTTCCTTCTTATTTTAAATAGTAATGATTAAAATCATGAAAGTAACGTGTCCAGGCTTCAATGGCCTGTAAAATAAGTCTACACTTCCATTAAAAAATAAATTTTAAAGATTTCAAGTGCTTGTGTGTATGATGCAAGGTATAAATCCAAGCCCACTGATTTTCTTTTTTTTTATCCTCATCCAAGGACATTTTTCCATTTTTTGTACAGACTGAGAGGGAGGGAGAGAGAGGAAGAGAGAGAGAGGGAAACATCGATGTGAAAGGGACACATCGAGTGGCTGCCACCCGCACGACCAACCAGGGCCGGGGACAAACTGCAACCGAGGTACGCGCCCTTAGCGGGAACTGAACCCGGGTCTCTCCGGACCGCAGGCCGACGCTCTAACCGTTGAGCCAAACCGGCCAGGGCAAAGCCCACTGATTTTCAAAGGATAGACCAATGTGTCTACACGGGTTTGCAACTCCACTGGCTCAGCCTCTGGCATGGTACAACAGGTGTCTTCACACCAACCCCTTGCTAAAATAATTGGAAGAGCTGAACAAAAAATCTTAGGTCTCTTTGAATGTATCAGAAAGTGTCAAATTAGTGATGAATTGTGAGGTCAAGTTTCAAAAAACCAGGCCTGGCATATTGAGTCACTGGTCCCCTTAAGACAATGCCCATTTCAAAACCACCATATAGGAAGCTGAGATGAGCTTTACTCAGATTCACAGGCCTGAGTAAACATAAATTAAAGTTGCAGACCTCAGATTGAGATGACATCTGATAATATCTAAAGTTTTCAGTTAGAATGCTGAGATATTCTAAAAGTAGAATGAACCAGAAATAGACCTACCCTCACATGGACTACATCCCAAGCTCAAAGTTGATGAATAAATTTAACTAAGATTGCTTATGGTCCAAGCCCTCCTTCTTGCAAAAAGCATTTTTTTTTTCCTCATGGAGGAAAATAACATTTTCCAGAGCCTCAAATTATTTTTACAATTTTTTATCATATACCATATTCAACATTCAATAAAATATAACCAATATTTAGGAAGATAAGTCATGATAGTAAGCCAAAGAACAAAAGAGTACGAGAAAACAGACAATACTCAGATAATTAAGAAAATGGAGTTATTAGATACAAATTTTTATATTACTAACATGTGCAAATACATAAAAATATGTCCATATGCAAATAGAGTCTGGTGGTCTAGCTCTAGTAGTGCAAGATGACCTCCAAGGTGCTGCCTCTGGTTGGACATGCCCACATTATCTCCTCCCCTTGAGTGCGGCAGGACTTGTAAATATGATGGGGTAATAACTCCATCATATTATGGTTTACGGAACAGTTGACTTGAAGGAAGGAAGATTATCATCGGTGAGCCTGATTTGATTAGGTGGACTAAAAACAGAAATTCCAAGTCTGTGAGGGAGTTGATGTGAGGGGACTTTCCACTGCTGGCTTTCAGATGGAGCGGGCAGTATGTCAGGGAATAGCAGGTGGCCCCTGGATGCTGAGGGTGACTCCTGGCCAACAGCCAACTTTAAGGCAAGGACCTCAAGTCCTACAACCAAAGAAACTGGATTCAGTCAACCACATGGATGAGTTTGGAAGTGAATACTGTCCCAAAGTCCCTGAGAGTTCAACCCAGCTGACTCCTGGAGTGTGAGACACTGGACAGAGAACCCAGCTGAGCTACAATTCAGACCTACAGAACTGCGAGATAAGAACTACGTATAGTTTTAAGCCATTAAGCTTGAAGTAATTGGTTATACAGCAATAAAATAACTAATACAACAATGTTGAGAGTTTTGGTAGTCGACAAAAATAATGC